TAATGAGACCACGCACAGGTTCTGACTTCAGGCTTGGGCAAAATTCGTTTTAAAAGCACCCAGGGCCCTAGCTGGCATGGCTCAGTGGATTGAGCACTGGCCTGAAAACTGAAAGGTCCTCAGTTTGATTCCCAGCTGGGGCACATGCCTGAGTTGCAGGCCAGGTCACCAGTTGGGGGCACGTGAAAGGCAACCCACTGATTTGATGTTTCTCTCCCTCTTCCTCCCTTGCTTCCCCTCTCTCTAAAAATAAAGTCGTTAAAAGCACCCAGGTGATTTCAATGCTCAGCCAGACGGAGGGCCAGGGCCAGCCCATGGCTTGCTCCGGATGGGCCTCAGCTGAGAACCACTCGGAGTGGACAAGCTGCTCAGTGTCTGTCTGCATGCACAGGGAAGAGGGGCCTGGGGTCCCCTGCCATCCTCCCACAGCCCAGAGACGGCTGACAACAGCTCCTGGCTGGGAGGGGAGAGAACGTTAGGAGAGCAGAGGGCCCGGGAGCACTCACAGCCCACCACTGCTGAGTCTCCAAGTCAGGTTGCCAGGTGAAAACACGGGACATACAGTTCAACTTTATTTCAGGTAAACAATGAGTAATTATTTTCAGTGTATCTCAAATATTGCCTGGAACATACTTATCCTAAAACATTATTTGTTTATCTGAAATTCTAATTTAATTAGGTATTTCTTTTTTTTATTTGCTGAATCTGGCTACTCCATCCCCAAGACAAAGATCTGATGGGTTTGGCCCATTCCCATCCAGTGCAGCAGCTTCCAGACCAAGAGGGGCTCCCCCCCCTTCCTTCTCTCTCACCACCCCCCGCCGTCTGGTCCAGCCAAGAGCAGGCCAGCACTCGGCGCCAGTCTGCCACTCCAAACCCACTCACTTATTAATCCAATAAATATGCCTGTGTGCCTACTATGTGCCAGGTTCTGTTCTAATCAGAGGCATAAAGCCGTAAATAAGTCAGACGAGTTCCTGCTCTCTGGGGGCTTGGGTTCCAGTTGGCGGTGGGCGTGGACAATGACGCAGAAAGCAAGTGCTTCGGCTGGTGGTGATGACCATGAAGGGAGGGGTACTAGTGACTGGGACCCACTCGAGGTGGGGGGTCAGGGAAGGCCTCTCTGAGCAGGTGGCATGACTGACTTGAAGGACCGACAAGAGCCGGTTCTGTAAAGGTTTAGGGCAGAGCGATTCAGGGAATGGAGTAGCCACAGGGTTGTCACGGACGGGCACATCTGGGGACACTCCAATACATCTTGCTGATTTGTAGGATTTGCCAGTTTCCTATGGCAGAAATACTCCATGTGGCCAAATTTAAACTACCAACATGACGTGGTAATTTTTAGAAAGCTGATAGTTTGAATAATACTGGTCCTCATCAAAATGGCAGGGTCAGATGGCTGGATCAAAATTCTACTCTTTGGGGGATTTTCCCAGCTCCCGGCTTCATTTTCCTCAGATTTCATTATCCTCAGGCCCTTCCCCTCTCACCATGACAGGGTGCTCCTAGAATTTTTTTTTTCCTGAGGGAGAAAGAAACATCGACACTTATTTACACATTCATTGGTTGATTCTTGTATGTGCCCTGACGGGGGATCAAACCCACAACCTTGCTGTATGGGGATGGCGCTCTAACCAACTGGTCTACCCCGCCAGGGCGGCTTCTATAAGTCTTTTAAGAGGCTGTTCCAGAAATCCTTCCCCAGTCCTACAGCAGGGGCAGGCTTGTTCCTTTGTACTCCACAGCACCACTGCCTTCCCGTTACAGCTGGTAACATGTGGCAAGGCCCTGGTTCAAGAGACTGGCTTTAAAAACCAAAATTCTGCCCTGGCTAGTGTGGCTCAGTGGGCCTTGCAAACGGTACTTACTGGACCCTGAGAATTCTTGAATTTAGGATCGAGAACCAGTTACAGTCAATGTTTATGAACAACTCTAGGGGGCGCTAGGTCTTACCGAGCTTCATAACCTTGTTCTCTCTCACCTTCAGGCCTCAATAAATGCAGACTGAATGAAGTACTAACTACCCCAAACAGACCAGCCTCCCTCCTGTCTCCATGAAGGTGAGGTCTGAGGATCAGTGGAATCCACGGTAACTGTCTTGAGTACTGCAAGGCAGCCTAGCTAAGCCATCCTCACTTTCCCCAAATTCTGTATCAAATGACAATAGATAACTCTGCCTGAGGTCAGGGGGCCTCGAAAACTGACCTCAGCTGACCGTCAACACGCACAAGCCACAAAACAACGTTGGCACTCCTGAGCCAGGCTGGGCTAGGGGCAGGTAGACCACAAAGCCATTCAGGTGCTCTCCGAACACCACCTGACTTCCCACGGGCTGTGCTTTCCCTCCTGCCTGACCCTGGCCTCCCACCAGCCTGCACCCCGGGGGCTGCCTCTCAACAGGCGAGGCAGCGGGGAAGATCCAGAGCAGCCCACCCGTTGTCTGCCACCCCATGGTCTCCTCAGGCCGAGGATGATACAGGAGCAGCTGCCCGCCCAGCATCTTCCTGGCTGCCCTCCTATCTAGGTCCCCAACGGAGTTAAGGAGATTTCATGCTATTTCCAAAGTCATTTTCTACGGAAAAATTTTTATACCTACTTTCTGACGCTTGTTATCTCCCTGAAAGCTTCCTCCTCCTCTTCCATGGTAACCCAGTTATGGGAACATGTAGGTACCCACTACCGACACCCTACAGCATCCCAGGGTGTCACTAACCTGGGTCGGAATGGAGAAATCACACCAGCGCCTTTCTATCAGAAGCCAGGCTGGTGAGATGGGCAGACAGCACGCAGGGCCGGCAGAGGCTCCCCTGGAACACGCTCCCCAAGCTGTTTCTCTGGGCCTTCCAGCCCCATGGTAACAGCTGCCTGGTGTCAGAGCACCTCTCCCTCAGCTTCCCATCCTCTGTGACTACCACCCACCTGGGGCGTTTTACAACCAGTGACCAACCCAGGATCCTCTGGGAAGCAACTGAGGCATTTCCCAGAGACCCTCAGGCAGCCTACCTTTCATAAAGAGTTGACCCAGGGAGGCTATGCATCGGGAGGGGTGGAGCATGATGGAGCAGATGTCAAAGCCAGCATATGCTCCCCCACAACTCCCAGGTGCTTTTTGTGCATTCCACAGGGAAGCCCGACCGTGCCGTGTCAGACCACAGCTGCCAGTGAACCGAGGCCCTTGTGAGGACAAGAGTCAGGGCCAAATGGCTCTGTATCCTCGGCTCACAGCACAGGGCGCAGCCCGCCAGGGGCTGCTGGAGAGGAGCCTATTACATCCGCCAGTCCCGTGTGGGCAAAGCTGCTCCAGAGCCCCAGACAAAGGGACCAGGCTTGGGCAGGAGTGGCCTCAGTTATGACCTGGCTTGAGAGCTATGCTCAGAGGATGGGGGTGGGGGTCAGGTGGTGACCTGGACCCATTCTCTTCTTGTGACAACCCAGCGGTGTGGAACCTTATGAAACCTGCGATGTTCCTAACATTGGAGATGTGGAGGAGAGAAAATTCCAGGACGATACCCCACTTTCCAGCCAGTTCCCCGGACAACCTAATGCAGGCAGCAGCCAGGGTAAAAAACAGAGGAGGGAGTCAGTGGGGAACAGGAGAATGAGCCAATTGCCAGACGGTGAGACTGAGGTGCTAACAGAACATCCATCCTGAAGGGTCAGTTGAGACATGAGGTGGACGCCTGGGGCCGAAGAGCCACCGAGAGACCTGAGTGTCAGACTCCGGAGAAACAGTCAAGGAGCAACCTCGTGCATCACGCAGACGAGATGACCTCCGCCAAACACAGGCCCCCGCGCCCAGGGGATGAATGCATACACATTGTTTTAATGATTCCCATTTCACTTGGTTGCTTTTTGAGGGTGAAGTTTTATGTTCAAATTTTTTAGAACCACATCCTGGCTGGTGTGGCTCAGTTGGTTGGGGGTCATCCTGCAAAGAAAAATTCACCAGTTCGATTCCAGTCAGGGCACATGCGTAGGTCACGGGTTCAGTCCCCAGCTGGGGCGCATATGAGGCAACTGATCAATATTTCTCTCCCTGTCTTTCTCTCTCCCTAAAAATAGATAAATAATTTTAGAACCAGTTGTAACTTTACAACACAAAAGTTTGGGGAACATAAAGCTAACTTCACATAGTTTTCTCCCTTTATTCATTTCAGTGAATTCTAGATGTGCATCTGAGAGAGAAGTTGATACCAAAAAAAAAAAAAACCTAGTAATTTCAACAAATGTCACCTCCAAAATCAGCATGAAATATTTTTAGCAAATATGGTCACGGCTTAGGTATTTCTCTAAGCAAATTATTAAAAACCTGCTTTTTTTACTTATTTATTTTGAGGGGAAGAGAGGAAGAGAAATATCAGTGTGTGGTTGCCTCTTGCATGCCCCCCCCCCCCATCACTGGGGACCTGGCCTGCAACCCAGGCACATGCCCCGACTGGGAATTAAACCAGCAACCCTTTGCTTCGCAAGCCAGCACTCAATCCACTGAGCTACACCAACCAGGGCAAAAATCTGCTTTTCTATTAATTAATAATTTAACCACACTTATAAAACACTTTCCAAATCCATATTGACATATCATTTTGATCTTAACTTTCTCCAACAGGTGCTGAACTTTCCCCCTGTGGGTTTGGGGCTCAGTGCAGGCCTTCTGGTCTCAAGACAGGAGCGTCTGCATCTTGGATCTGGAGGGTGGCCCATCCTGAGCAAGTCTCCTTGGGCATTAGCTTCCTCCTAGAAATCCAGGGCTGGCTGCGCAGCAGTTCTTGAACTAGATATCATCGTTGCCAATAGCAAAGGCCCATCTAGCACTTCCATGTGTAAGGTCCTGTACTGTAAGCATTACTGTGATCCCCATTTTACAGATGGAGAAAGCAAGGCTAAGGACTCACCACACGTGTGTACTGCCTCTCCAGTGTCTCAGGTGAGGATCAGATCTGGGCAGGGCCCCGGAATCCACACCAATAACAAGCTCCAGCAGGGACTTTGGTCCAGGTGCTTTTTATTTACTTATTTTTAAAACTCGTCAAAGCATATGTTTACTGATTTTCACAGAGAGAGGAAGGGGAAAAGTGAGAAACATCAACGTAAGAGTAAAACATCAGTTGGTTGCCTCCTGTACACTCCCCAACTGGGAATCAAACCGGCAACCTTTCCGTGTACAGGACGTCAGGACACTCCAACCGAGCCACCAGGCAGGGGCTCCAGGTGGTTTTTTGACCCTGTTTTGAAAGCACCGTTCCTAACATCAGACCTGCTTTGGTTCGGAGAGCAGGGAAGGGAACAGAGAAATCCAGAGTCCCAAGCAGGGCAGATCTCAGGAGCAGGTTTGCTGCCACCCTCTGACAGGGGGTCAGAAACTGCTAGTTAGGGCTGCACTGCTGGGAAACCAGACTGTCTCTTGCTGCACCAGATTGCCACCTGCTGGCTACAGGTGGCCTTGCCAGCTAGGTGGGAATACATATCACACCCATCCCTTCACCGAATGGTAAAGGACTAAGGTAACATTAGTCCTAAAGGACCAAAAGGTAACATTGCTTGGGGTTCAGTGGAGACCTCACAGTGTGTGATGGACAAGCAATGACAATACATGTTTAGCATGATGGGAAAGAAAAAGTAAGTGGGGAGAGTCAGTGTGGATAAGGGAGGGGTCAGTGGGGGAAAATAAGCCTGAGGCGTAGGTAGGCAGGGCCAGGCTGCTGGGCCTGCTTAATCTGGATTTTGTGCTGAAGGCAGTGGGAAATCCAGCAACGAGTCAGATTTGCTTTAGTTAGAACATTCTGGCCTCTGCCAGGAGGATGAATGGGATAGTTTGAGGGGGACCAGAGTCAATCTGAAAACCCCTCACGACCAGACAAGAGCAGCAGCTGCTGGCCTAGGTTAAGGGGTGGCTGTGTGGATGGAGAAAAGCAGTCAGTGAGAGAGATTTAGAAAGCAGGATTGGTTGGGTGTGATAAAACCACAGCTCAGAGAGTAACGGCAGGAAATCATAGTGGCCCCATTTCCGTCCTTTCTTTGAACAAATTGTAGCACGTATGACGTGGCAGGAACTAACGAACCTGCTGGGAACACAGTGGTGAAAGCAAGTCAAGCAAAAGCCCCACTTCTCATGGAGCCTAGTTCTAATGGGGAGGAGAGAAAACAGTCACACGTACAGGAAAACAACAGATGATGCTAAATAAAATGTTCGTGGCATAGTGACTCTCAGAGACCTGAGTGGTAAGGAGCCTGCATGTAAAGACGACAGGGAAAAGCATTCTAGAGCAAAGGAACAAATGCAAAGGCACTTAAGGTGGAGCATGTTCAAGGTCAGAGGCAGCCACCGTGGTGGTTAGGGCAAGAGAAGGCTGGAGAGAGTCAGGGCCAGATTATGAAGGCCTATACAGCAGTGCGAAGAATTCTGAGCAAAGGGAAGGCACTCAACATTTTATAGACAGGAAAGTGACAGAATCAGAATTTGTTTAAAGATCTCTCAAGCCACTCTCTGGGGAAGGGTGGTGTGGGGCAAGAGAGAAAAAGCAGGAAGCCTGGTAGGAAGCTGGGGTGTGGGCAAGGAGAGAAGATGATGGCAGCAGCATGAGGATGGGGGTTCTCGGCATATTTTGGAGTCAGAGGCAACAGGATTTGCTGATGGATTGGATGTGGGGGTGAAAAAATAGAACCAAGGATAACAGCCACCACAGGAAAACTAGACGGGAGGAGAAAGGCTGTAAGGGAACTTCTTCCCCAGTGACGGCCCATCCCAAACAGCAAAGGCCTGGCCTGAGAGCTCAGCCCCTCAGGAGGGAGCAGCCTGCGAACTGAACACACTGAGGCTGTTTTCTTATCTGAGACTGGGCCCAGCCTGCCCGGGTGCGTGGCAGGCTTGACTGTGTGTGCCAGCCTGGCTCCTGAGCACACTCAGCCAGTTTACTCCCATCGATGAGAGGCAAGTTCCCAGGCAGCCCCAAGCCTCACTGCCGGCTGGAAGAACACCCAAGGTCACTTTTCAGTCCAATCCTAAATAGAATCCCCAGAAGAAGCCCCTTCATTCCCTAAGCCCTGGACCTAGGATTGTTCCAGCAAGACAGAGAAGAGGTCTCTCTCCACTCACTGGAATCCAAGGCGCATGTGGGAATGGGCAGCTTTATCCTGGCAGAACAAACACCGGGAGACCAAGGGCTACGGGCACCACATCATTTTATTTCTTTGCTTTTCCAGCTTCATTCTCGGGCAATGAAAATTCGGTCTCTCACCTGCTTGGCCACTGTGTGGTGCCTCACTGACGACGGGGCACAAGCTCTGAGGACTCGGCAGAAAGACAGGTCTCGTCCCCAAGGGCAAGCCATACTGGCAGAGGACTGCAGACGGACCAAGCAGCGAGCAGAGACTTGAGAGCCCTCAGGCCCCCACTCCACACTGAGTGGCCAGGAGCAGACCAGCCCTCGGTGGTGCGGCTCAGGACCCTCCCTCAGAGGCTCTTGGTTCTTCCTGTACTTCCTGCTTCTGCTCACGCTGGGCCTGACTGCCTTTCCTTTGCGGGTGCCAACCAGAAGCCACTGACCCACTCCACATTTGATTTCTTATGCTCCTTAGGGAAATACATTTGAGTAAGGAGAATGCCAAACCCCAGAAGGAACTGAAGATATATATTCTGCCCAATGGGACAGATGGCCATGCTATAATAATACTCCTTTTGTCCCTAGAAAAAAACGGAAAGCAGCTTTAGCTAACCAGCTCCCCTCCGGCCCCTCCCCCACACATACAGCTTCCAGTACCCGCAAGTGGGCCCAGCCAACCCACTTCAATCAAAACAAAAAACTAAAATCCATACACATAAAAATAAGAAGGGCAAACAACTGTGACTCTCTGCAGCAGACCGGATGGCTGGTTTCAGGTTCGCCCTGCCCTGGAGCCAAGACACTGCACAAATGTGCCTTTGGGTTTAGGGTGGACGCCATGCAAACTGGAGCAAAGGGCGTCCTAGCCCAGCCAGGGGGCAACTCGGGTCCCTGACCCTCTCCGAATTGGTCCCCCATCCTCCCAGCCCCTCTGCATTGCCAGGTCAGCCATCAACCAGGGTGAGACCATCATACAGGGCCCGCTTCCACATGTAGTAGGTGGAGCGGGCTGTTAGCGGGAAGAGGGCGCTGAACTCCTTGTAGGAAGGAAAGCTCTTGGACTGGAAGCACTTCTGCAAAAACAGCTTGGCATCAGCCTTGAACTTGGTGGAGGCAAGCATGTCCATCACCAGCACCTGGCTGTCCCTACTGCCTGCTGCCATGGCCACAGAGGGGCTGGACCAGGATCCACTGGGAGGCCTTCCCTGGGCCATGGCCCCCTCTTGCAGAACCTTCTCTCTGGAAGACCCTCCCTGGGCCTTCTCTGGACCCTCTCCTGGAGAAGCTGCCACCTTTGGGGCCCCTGTTGCTGGGGCCACAGAAACTATCACATTCTTGCCAGCTTCTTTCTCTCGCTTCTCTTCAGCCTCCTGGCTCCCAGCTTTGCCCAAGGCAGGGGCCTGAATCTGGAGTCTGGACAGGCTTCTAGGCCAGCCCCGGGCAAGACTCTTCCAGACCCAAAAGGTGGAGGGGGACAGACTGGGGTAGCGGAGGCGAAAACGACAAAAGGGGAGATGCCCACGGAGCACCTGCTTGCGGGCGGCCCTGCGCAGGCGCCTCTGCCAACGGGACAGGGGTATCCTCGGGGGCACGGACTCCCGGGGGGCGGGTGGGTCCCCATCTGTTGCTTTCCCTGTCCCCTCTCCCTCCTCACTCTTCTCTGGGAGCAGGGCCTCTTCCCCAACAGATGCCAGCTGGGGAGCCGGGGCTATGGAGAGGGCTGGGGCGGGCTTGAAGCTGGGGTTCCTCCGAAGGGCCTTCCGGCGCCAGTTGTAGTAGGTAGACCGGGAGATGCTGGGGAACCTGCGTTTGAAGCAGCGATAGGGCACCAGTGTGTTCAGGGAGATGCAGTGCTCCAGGTACAACTTGGCCCGCTGCATGAGGACCACTGCAGGGCTTGCCTCAGCCAGCACAGGGCATCCCAGCCCCTTGGCAACCTGCTCCTCCGGCGGCTTCTCCGCCTTCTCCAAGTCCTCCATCCCCTCCTTGGGGGCCAGGGGCTGGCCGGGGTCAGTGTCCAGCAGCTCGTTCTTCCAGGTATAATAAGTGGAACGGGAGATCTCGGGGAACCTCTGGAGAAACTGCTGCAGCGACATGACCCCCCCATGGTGGACACTCTCCTGCAGGACATGCTTGGCCGAGTAGAGGGTGGCCGCCTTCTGCTGGTGCTCCTGGGACTGCCGCCGCCAGCGGTACAAGGTGTTCTTGGTGACATTGTAGCGTTTGCAGAGTTCAGAGTAGCTGCGGCAAGGGTCCTGGATGAGCAGCTCCGGAGTCTTGGCTGGTAGTGGCAGAGCAGCTGGGGCCAGGGGAGCCAGGGCCAGGCTGGTAGCATCTTCAGCTTCCACCTCCTCCAGCCCCACCACAGGGGCAAAGTACTGGTGGCGGAAGAGATGGCTGGTGAGGGGCTGGCCGGCCCACATGATGTGCAGCGTGGCCGGCATGTGGTCACAGCGGCGGGGCCGGATGATGCGGTTGAAGTAGGGCCGGATCTTGAGGTTGCGCATGGGGTAGATGGAGTAGATGTTGCGCTGGAGGATGGAGGCAAGGGCATACAAGTGCCACACGTTGGAGAAGCTGCTAGGGAAGCAGGTGGCCTTGACGTCCGCATCAAAGATGGCCTCCAGCGTGGCGGACGGCAGGCTGGTCATCTCGGGGGACTCCTCCGAGCAGAGGGAGTAGCGCACAGCCTGCAGCATCACCTTGGAGTCGATCATGCCCTGCAAGTAGTAGTGTCTGTGCAGCAGCATCTCCACCACAGTGCGGGCCCGCAGCTCCAGGCTGAGGCCTGTGTTCCCCCACAGCAGCATGCTGGCCGCCTCAAACAGCAGGCTGCCCTCACCCTTGCACACCAGTGGCAGCATGTTCCGGGGAGCATCCTCTGGGTACAGGCTCAGGGCCACCGAGTCCACCTCCAGCACCTGGCGGCTAGGGCCTTTCTCCCGGCAGATGGGGAGAGTGAAGGAGGACAGGACCTGCTTGGCCTCCAGAGCAGCACCGACAAGACCCTCCAGGCCCTCGGATTCCACCGCCTCCTGCAGCTCCAGGAGCACCTGCTGAATCAGCTGCTCCCTAGATGTCATCCTGCCGGGGCAAAGGACAGAGAGCAGAGGTCAGGATGAGGAACCCCAATGACGCCCAGCAGTGGTGCCTGCCCTATCCACTCCTGCACCTTCTCCCTTGAGATGACGTCCACCACTCCCATTTCTTCATTGCAAACAATGGCCAAGTGCCTCCTGGGGTTAACTCAGTCCCTCAGCGGTACTAAGACCTTGGTCTTCTCGATTCTGATACTAGCTTAAGAAAGTCATTGAACCTCGCTAGGATTCTGGTTCCTCCATGAAAAAGGGGACAATAAAAAAGTGTCTACCTTACAGGGTTGTTGCAGGTATAAGCAAAAACAATGAAAGAAAAGGATGGAGACATACAGATATACAGACACACTTATATATCCATCCTTCAGATAGTGCCTGGCACAGAGTGAAGTGCTACAGAAGTGTTAGCTACCACGCATGAGTCTTGCCTAGCACTCTACGTATTAGACAGCACAGCTGTAAGAGCTGTACCTCTGTACCTGGAAAAGGCAACACTGGACTGTCTTTCCCCTATTACAGCGATTCTCAAAGTCTGGTCCCAGTACCCTTGGGGTTCCTGGGGCTTTTTCAGGGGGTCTGCAAGTTAAGCTGTTTCACAGTAAAACTAAACTATCCTAAGCTGACACTGGGATAGTTGCCTTTTCCATTGTATAAACACCTGGGTAACACTGTGGTAAACTTGGCATGAATCAAACCGTACTGGAAGTCACTGTGTTCCTTACCACCATGTAGCGGCAGATAAGAAAACACAAAAAAGCCCTGGCTGGTGTAGCTCAGTGGATCGAGTGCGGGCCTACAAACCAGACGATCGCGGTTCGATTCCCAGTCAGGGCACATACCGGGGTTGCAGGCCGGTTCCCTGCAGGCCAGTTCCCAGCAGGGAACGCACAAAAGGCAACCATACATTGATGTTTCTCTCCCTCTCTCCTTCCCTTCCCCTCTAAAGACAAATAAATAAAATAAAAAAAAAAAAAAAGAAAACACAAAAAGCTATTGTAGTTTCCCTCAACATCCTCGATGAAGCACAGTGAACATCCTTCTTAGCACCTGGCTGGTGTAGCTCAGTGGATTGAGCGCGGGCCTGCAAGCCACATGATCGCGGTTCAATTCCCAGTCAGGGCACATGCCTGGGTTGCAGGCCAGTTCCCAGCAGGGGACCCAGGAGAGTCAACCATACATTGATATTTCTCTCCCTCTCTCCTTCCCTTCCCCTCTAAAGATAGATAAATAAAATATTTTTTTAAATTAGAGGCTTTAAAAAAAAGATTTTTCTTAAATTACAGCCCTAAAAAACACGACTTCTCAATATCAGGAGAAACCTTTCTACCGGACACGGAAGCAGATGAAGGGCTCACAGGACAATTGTCGGGCTGCATGATGGACTGGCCACTTTTTATCACCGAACACCATTGTACTTCGAGGGAACATTGGGAGACATTCATCACTTGGACTTAAGTGTATTTAGTAAACATTTTGTCAGTAGTGAATAAGGTGAGACTGTCACTTCAAGAAAAATTGCCAGTGAAATGTTGAGCTCTCACTTGAAAATTAAAATTTAGGGAAGCCTGTACCCACTCCAGGGAGTTCAACAGCTTCTCCATACCTAAAGGCTTTTCTCACGGAACCGGCGGTGACACTATGAATGTAACTTTTTATACCACATAATGGAATTGCCAACAGGTGAAGCTCTGTATCACTCCATGAATTCTATTGCCCCAAAACCCTCTGGGTGCTGTTACAAAGCTATGCATTTTGATTGGTAAAAGAGCCCATCAAAGTATAAAAGAAAGCAATAGATTTTAATATAGTGGGGTTCCAAAAGTGCCTGGGTGTTGCTTCAGATTCTACATTATAACTGAGCTTTGAGAAATGACGCGTCGAGTTTTGGTGTAGTTAATCGAAGAATATCCACTGAAAAAGCAATCAAGATACCCTTCCTCTTTTCATCTATGTATCGAGATGAAGTGGGATTTCCTTCAGATACTTCTACCAAAACGATGTACCACACAGACCGAACGCAGAGACAAATATGAGAATGTGCTCGTCTTCTATTAAACCAGACATGAAAGATTTGGAGAAATGTAAAAGAATGCACTTTTCTCATTAATTTTTATCTGGAAAAGTTATTTCTCATAAGAACTATTCATTGTTCCTACGTAACAAGTTTGCCGTTTTTAAATACGCACTATAAATGTCTCCATTTTCATCTTGAATACAATCTACGTGGGCAGATGCAATCAATAGAAATGAAAGCTCGTGGGGGGGGGGGCGGTTCTCAATTCTTAAGAGCACACAGAGGTCCTGAGACCAACGAGTTTTTGAGAACTGCTGCCCTGGAAGAAAGCCAGTCGGTCTTGTCACAGCGTGTCACTCTGTGCTGACACGGATCTCATACCTGCGATTCACTGAGCATTTGTCACCCACTGTCCTAATCCTGACAGCCACACTTTAAGGCAATACCATTGTCCCCAGTTTACAGGTGAGGAAACCAAGACAATCGGTATTAGTCTACTTCACCCAGTTTGCCCCAGGTCACACAGGGGTGCAGCGGGATACTCTTTAGGGCCCACGATCCCTCGGTTCCATTGCCAGCCACCTTTTCAATACAAACCAATCATTTTATTTATTGGTACATTTTCAGTATTGTCTTGCAAAGCAAAGTAATATTCCTTGGTGGGTACTGTTTCTAAAATTCAAAGGAAACCATTATCCTTTCTCAGATCTTTGTTTTCATAGATGATATGGAGTTCAATACATAGCTTTCGATTAGTCTTCGATTTAAAAATTGTGTTTAGGTGTAGCCATTTTTCAACTAATCAAACCCCAGACTGAAAAAGACTGTGTTTGAGTGTACGTTACGGTTCAGTCAAGTTGAAAAGAAAGTTTTTTAAAGCACCGAAGAAGCATCAGCACAATTTTACTTGATAATCATAAAAAAGAAAGCTTTTTAAAAAACTGGTGATCGGGAACACCTTTGGCTAAAATTTCTCAGCTGTAGATTTTTTTTAAAAACATGTATATTGTGATAAATCTGGTCTAATCTCTCACCAAATCTGTTTTTGGACCATATTATTTGGCCCTGGATTTGGGCTCTTAAACTCTGTTCATCTTCCATGTGCTTTAAATCTGCTTTTTAAAAAAACAATTTGTTTTCTTTGGAAAACAAGAGGATAAACTTCCTACAGGTTCTTATCGAAGAGACTATTTCCATGTGCAGTTAAAACAAAAAAGCTCCGAAGAACACACTGTACACACGGACGGGCTTTTTCAGGCTGACAAAGATGCTGGGGTTGGGGGCGGGGTCTCCATGCGGCTTGTCAAATGGTGCTCAACGGCGCATGTAAATGAGCGTCCTGCTGGCTACTGTGCAAACAAAATTATGAAAATAGCCCCTACCTACCTGGTGCTTACTCTGTGCATTTAACCGAGGTAATTCAACCAAAAACTCAGAGAGAATAGTGCGTGGGCGATTCTTTCTGCCCTGCTCCGCAGGGAGCCATATCTCCTGAGCAGAGAGCACAGTGTTCCCTGTGAGCCACGAGCTACCGTGGGCTTCCCGCGGGGTGAGCGAGCATTTGGATCTCCGGTGTCTCAGAGGTGGCTCTGTTTACGCACAATGCGGTTCTCCCTCTTCCTGCAAGTGAACTACACCTCCATCACACCTGCAACCCCTGCCAGGGTGGTTTTTCCCAGCCCTCAGCTGGGGAAACAGAGGCTTGGGGTTAAACTAATTAACTTCCCCGAGACCACAGCTATGAAAATTACAAAACCCTGGGCAATCCGACCCCAGAGCTCCCCTGCCAATCCTGGGATCCACCATCCAGGGGATACATCACCCAAAATGTGCATCATCCAAAGGACCCTGAGATACAAGGGTTCTTTGAACTTTGAGACAAACCAGCCATTAAAAAAAAAAAAAAACTGAGGTCCAGAAACATAAAATTGACTTACCTGAATTCATACAACAGTATCCAGATACCATCCAACAGAATGTCCAGATACGCCACACTTCCTCCTGAACAAAGCCCACCCCTCCCCACGGTCTCCTTTCCCACCCCACCTCTGGCCCAGACGCTGACCAGACCCAGTCCCCCCCTCTCCACGCTATCTCATTCCCTCCTTCCCTAAAGAGGGGTGAGGACTTGTGAGTACGCAATAACCCACTTGTTTCCTCAAAAGCTTGCTGAGAAAAAGTAGCTCCCTGGGGCTCTGCATGCCCCGTCCGCTCCAGAGGGTCTGAACCCCCAGAGAACTGGGTAGTGGGGGAAGACCATCGGCCCTAACAGGGCAGCCAATCACCCCTAAGTAGACAATTGGTTAATGGGGTTCAGGTGCAGGCCTTTTTCAGCAGCGGTTTCCTGGCAGTGCAATGCAAAGCAGATCTGGCGACTGTCAGGTGCATTCATGAATTAGGTGCAGAAACCGAGAGCTGACCGAGGCTTTGCCCAGCTGGCCTCCCCTGGCGACTTTTGGAAGGGATCTGAAAAGGAGTGAAACCAAGGAGGCAAGACCCCCTCAGATTGCACAGGCTCCTCTGGCTTGAGGTTGGAAGGGAATAAAATGGGGAAGCCCTGCAAGTGTCTGGGAAGGGCTCTGGAGCCAGGGAAGGAATGAAGATGTGGGCACCTCTGCAGGAGATTCAAAACCTCACTTCCCCAAGGCCAGCTTTCCTCCTTTCCCAGACTCATTTCAAGCCGATGGGGCTCAGACCCCCATTCTCCCCAACCCCATTCTTTCACTCACCCCTCATAAACCAGGCCCAACAAGCACAGAGGGAGGGCCAGAGGCCTCAGCCCTCAGTGAGACAGGGATAAACCAGCACTCTCCCCTTCTTCCCCCATCACACTGGCCCAACTGTACACCTGCCCAGCCGTGCCACTGGCCACTGATTCGAGGGAGTGCTAGTCATCCTGTCTTGTCTCCCTCCTCGGTGGCCAGAAGGCCCTGAAGTTGGGGGCACGGGGGCTTGCTGGTGGTAAGCAGCCTGTGGGGGGGGGGGACGGTGACTTCCCAAGAACTTCCAACCACCAAGTGCAGCAGGAGTACCTGGGAGCTCCGTGTAGGCCCTGAGGCTAGCAAGTCAGCCTGGGAGTTCCCAAGGTCAGTTGCTCTAGTGGACCCCAAGTCTGGAAGGGTAGGGGAAACGCAGCCCACTCAGGGGAACTTGCAGGCAACAGGTTACCCACGGGTGTGCCAGGAGGCCATGGGTGGCTGGGGAGAGAGCGGGTTGGCCTGGGCATCTGGGATGAGACCCAACCCAGGAAGCTGTGGGAGGGGTCGAGACCACACCATTTTGCAGGAAGGAGAAGAGAGATAGGCAGAAAGAGGGAGGCGGGTGGGGGTGGGGATGGAGCTGGAGGTGCTTGTAGGGACAAAAAAAAGTGAAACAATGCCTCACCTCCCCTCTCTGCCCCAGCCCGGAACACATCCACGCTTGCAACATCGTCACAGAGTCATTCCTCCATCCTTGGGCCCTTCCGAGTCCTAAGCCAGCCCTCATTCCCTGGGGACACCAGGCTGTACAGTCACCCGCCCTCCCTAATGTTGAGTTAACTTTCTAGGTTACTGACCTCGAGGGTGACCCAGAGCCCTGGGAGCATCCAATTCTCTCTCCACCTTTCAGCTTGGGACATTTAAGTCACCCTGCCGGCAGGTCCCCAGCTGAAAGCCACTCTCACTCCAGAACTGGTTTCAGATTTGCCCACTGAGCAAGGACGTCTACAGCCAACCAGTCTACAGCCAACCGGCCGAGGGAGAATCAGCTTAAGCCACTCCCCCCAAGGAAATCGCCTACCCTCAAGTGCTCGGGTCCCAAGATGAAAGAAGTGCAAATTCGGGGGTCACTTCCAATGGTAAAGTGATAGCTGCTATTGTCCCATCCACTCTACCCAGCTGGGGTGTTAAAGTGCTCTGACTTAGCTCTGAAATCGACCTCAAACTGCCCAGAAAAAACTTGAAAGTGTTTAAAGATTTCCAACGAGTTTGGGGTGGGGAGGGGAAGAGAAGGTTTAGATAGAAAGACCTAAGGAAAGAAAATTCATGGCCAAGCTAAGAGAAGAGGGAGAGGGGGTGGGGAGGAGCAAAGGTGGAGCCCAGAAACTGGCCTGCGATAAATGGTTAGATACTTTGGGGCTCTCTGAACCTCCAAGCTGCATCTTTGCCCAAGGCAGCTGCCACCTCCCAGGCCCTGCAAGTCGGGGAGGCTGGAGAACGCATGTCCTCACTTTGGTGCAAGACCCCTTCCCTGACAGAAAGGCTTCACTGTCTTCGAGGCCTCCCTCCCCACCTTCTGAGCATCTCCAGGCTGGGCACCTCTTACTCTCAAAGTGCCTGAGCCAGAGCTGCTTCAGCCAGGGCACCTGGCTCTCTGAGCCCCAGATGAAGGTGGGTGAACATGCAGTCCCTGGGGCTTCTGTCCCCGAAGCTCACCTCAACCCAGGAGCCTCAGATAATCCTGGAGGAACCAGTCCTATCTCCCAGTCTGGTCCCCGCCGGTGGGGGAGGTAAAAGCCAAGGGACTGAAGCCTTCAGTGGTGTCTTCCCCCAGGGGCTTTCCTGCCCGACTTTAACCCTTTGGAGTGCTGGGGCTGGCTGCTTCTCTCCCTGACTTCCGGTTTCACTTTACCGCTGTACCCCTGGCAACCCAGTAGGAAATGTGCCCCCATGTCAGCTGTGCTCCAGCTCCACTATTACCCTTTTCTTCTCTGCCTATCGTGAGTTCTACACTTAATCACCTAAATCAAAAACCCTGTTTCGACCGCCCCAGAGCACTGGACTGGGGAGCCACCAGAAGCGAGTTCAAGTCCAGTCTCTCTGCATTATAATCATTTCCAGCCCCACCCACCATAATGGCAGTCCCTGAGGCAGTGGTTTGGACATCACCTGGAGTTGGATTTGAATGCCAGCCCTGTCCTTCGCTAGATGGCCTTGGGCAAATTGTCTAAACTCTCAGGACCCTGATTTGGAAGTTATTGGGGCCTAACATTGACCCCACAGAGCTAACTGGGAAGATTCCATGAAATGACTCCTTTAAAGCACTTAGGGCTATGCTTGGCACAAAGCCAGTAGCTTCCATTTCTCAGCCTCTCCATTTAATTTGAAATGTTTTTTTTTAAGTTCTTAATATAAATGCAGTACTTTAAAAGCTTCAGAGAATAGTGACTATCTGGCAGAAAGAAATGGAACTATGAGACACTTTTTCTTGCAGCATTATCTTTCTTCGTTGTTTGACATTTTATAAGGAGTTTGCATCACTTGCTATCATTTTAAAAAGCAATGAAGATAATTTAAAATTTTTAAAGGTTAATAGAATCTTTAAAAGTATTTTTTAAAAGAAATTGCAGTGATAAGAAGATGTGTTGGTGATTCCGTTACCAAAGTAAGTCTTATTTATAGGCTGAGAAAATTTAGAATAATTGGGGAAAACTTTAGAGTAAAAGGAAGAAAAAGTTACCTGTAATCTTATTATCTAAGGACAGCTATTGTGAACATTTAGGTATATTTCTTTCTAATCCAGTTTTTTTTTTCTCCTTAGACTGACTTATATAAGTTAAACATTCTTTTTACAAAAGAGTCAAATGGCACAGAGTAAAAATAGAGCAAGTTTTGCTCCGTCCCTCACACAGTCTCCTCACTGCTTATCTGCCAGTTTTTCTGTCTGTGATTCTCACCTTTTTCCGTGCCTATACACATGTGTACATTTCTGGTCTGTGAATAATTTTGTCCTGTTAAACATTTTCAAAACTACTTTTGACCAAATAATATATATTGTAGGTGCATGCTACATATCACATACATAGATGATACCTAAATAATAATATATTATTTTAAATGTGTGTAAATTTTGGTTCAGCAATTTACAAAAGGACTCAGGGTTCAGATTTCAGCCCCATTACCTGTCTGCAGTTTCTCCAGAAGCAGCCAATATCGCTTCTAGGGCACTATTCCAGAAATACATTATGTATAAAAAAGCAAATATCTCAGAGTGCTCTTTTCCTTTCTTTAAAGTACAAATGGTAGCATACCAAGCACTCGAAGGCCCCTTGCCCTTTTCACTTTGTTTATTCAGAGCCACACACGTGCTTTTATATCTTCCAGTAGCCACATTAAAAGGGTTAAAAGGAACACGTGAAACTAGCATTAACAAGATTTTTCAGTGAAACCAATATATCTGAAATATGATCATTGACAGGAAATCAATATAAAACATTATAATAAGATAGTGCACATTCCTTCAAAATCCAATGTGCTCTGTCCCCTCTAAGCCCATCTCAGTCAGAAGCAGCCACATTTCAGAGCCACATGTAGCTGGCGGCAAATGTGCCAGCACACGCCAGACACCCAGCTGTAGCATGCCACCCATCAAGTAAATGAATACAATGTGCTCTCCAGTGCCCTATCGATGGCCATTAAGGTCGTTTCCAACATTTGTTCATAAACCATGCTACCATGGTAACCCCACACATACATAATTTTGCACACATGTAGGTGGACGTGTGGTAGTAATTCACACAGATTTTGCTGAATGTCCATCCTTAGAAGTTGTACTGGTTTATTTCCCCAAATCAAAGTATGAGAGTTCAGTCTCCTTTTAACCTTTGTCCAGGACTGTGTGCATCATTTTAAAAAATCTTTGCCAATCTAATAGGTGAAAACTTAGTCTCTCAGGATGCTTTTCATTTACATATTGTATTATGAATAGTGGAGAGCATTTTTCATACATTTAAGAGCCATTTATGCTTCCTTTTCTGCGAATATCTTTTGCCCATTTGCTAATTGGATTATAGATGCTTTTCTTATTGATTAATGACAGTTTTGTATAAAGACAGCCTTTGGTCTATGATAGGAATTAGAAATGTATTTTTCTGAGTTTGTGGTTTATAATTGGACTTTGCTTATGGTGTTTTTTTTATCCCGAAGATGATATACTTTAATTTACTTTTGCTTTTAAACTATTAAGATGAGGTGTCACAAAATTAAGGGCCTGGTCACTAGATGTCCAAACATCAAAAGTCCCAGATTCCCAGCAATAATTAAACCCACCCCTACAAGGATCCTCTTTAGTTAATATGTGCCTTGCTTTGAACAAAATTTAGATTCAGGAAGCAGATGAGTCAGGGTAATCCTTCACTCATGAAGGGGCACACAATGGAAAAGCTTCCCTGAACTAATGAGCTGCGATAAGTACTTAACTGTTCAAATGTACAGCTTTCCAGGGGTGATGTAAGTGGGGCTTCACCTGCATTTGCAAAAACCAGGTCCTGGAATGAGTGAAGTGCTCAGCCAGCCCTGACCGAGGCGGGAAGGGTCAGCCTGGCAGGACAGCGACAGGGTCAAAATTCTAGCTCTGCCCCGCATGCCCTTGAACAGGGTCCCTCCCATCTCCAGACCTAATTCCCCGCTTAAAAAATGATTAGATGGTAATACTCCAAAAGTTGCTGAGGATTAAGTGAAAAACTGCTCATGAAGTTCCTGGCACAGGTCTCGTGCCCCAATGCTCGGTGCCGGGACCGCACAGCTATCAGATTTAGCTCCCTTCCCTACTCACTGTCCTTCTGCGAAGATGGAAAACATTCATCCATCTGTTCATTCAATTAATTCATTTGCTCAGTGCCTTTATATATATTAATATATGTTAGTTCATCCTTTATCAATCATTTGCTCATTCAGTTGTTCACTCATTCACACATTCACTCAAGCCTTGTCATTCATTCAACAGATATGAGACCCTAATGTGTGCCAGAGTCCTGGGCCAGGCCTGAGGACACGGCGCTGTCTGCAAACCCACATCTCAGCGCCTGAGAGCTGAGGCTCCAAAAGCTTCTCATTCATTCCACAACACAACACACATCTTTTGTGTTTACTGTCCGCAAAAGCCCTACATCCAATAGCTACTAATTTTACTTCCATGACATCATAATCTCCTGGTTTCCTTTCTTTTTCTTTGTTCCTTATCCCTTTCTCCTTCTACCCATCCCTCCGTCCACTCCCCTCACTTACCCTCCCTTTGTTTCTAACCCAGGATTCAGGTCTTTACTATCAGGATACCGTGGCGATGAGCGAAAGACCGGTGACCACTCAGAGTGCAGTCAAACCCGCCAGAGCTTCTCTACTTCAGATGTGTCCAAGAGAACTAGACAGTCTGACCCTCACTTTCCCTATTTATAAAACAGGGATAATGATATTCACTAAATGACTGCATTAAACAGGGATGGCACTCCTTGACTGGGCAGAAACATTTACTACCAAGGATAGGACTATCAATTGAAATCACAATTGGTTGATCGTCTACTCTGCGGGCATTATGCTCAGTGCTGTGAAAGGCACACCAAATGCTAATGCAGTCTCTTCCGGTCGCGGCCCAGACGGGCCCATGGTGAGCACTCAGGAGGAGCTGCCATGACTTGCTGTTACCAAGGAGAGGAGTGAGGCTTTCCCTCCCGGGCGCTGGCATGGCTCATGCCGGCTCCTGTTTTCATTTGCAGCTCCGACCGGGAATTATTCGTGGCTTTAAAGTGATTTAATTTTGTGGCAAATCTGAATATAAACTGGGTATTGGCATTTACTAAGCAATTAAATGAAAAATTTGTTAAAAGTGATAAAAGTAAGAAAAGGTCCTAAATTTTCAGATATGCATGTAAGAATTTAGGGATGCAATGATAGGACCTCAGGTCTTTGCTTTTTAAACATTAGAGGAAAAGAAGAAGAAAAGGTAAAGAATATATATGGCAAAATGTCAATCATTACTGAATCTCAGGAGTTTGTTTTCCCATTGACTCCGGATGGATCATTGTGCCATTCTCTCAATGCTGGTGTATCTAATAAGTTTTAGATAATAGAAAGGTTGAACGTTTATTAGCGATGAAGCAGGAGGGAAGGAGACTTACCTGCGAGCAGCATCCCCTCTTGGACGGAGAGCAGGCAGCCCCTGTCCTTAGCCAGGAGGAAAGCGACCAAAGGTGCCCGGTGGGCAAAGTCTCTGGCCACCAGGACTGATGCCTACTTTGTTTGCAGGGCCTTTGCTAGCTGTCTGCGGAGACATGAGCTTCACACAGCGGCTCAGAGGACTTAGCAGGAGGAGAGGAGAGAAATCTTGTGGATAAGTAACACCC